ACTGGATTTGACCGAGGAACTGGCATTGTTAACCAGGCTTAGGATCTGCCAGACATCTTTCAAACCTTAACTACGTCCAGTAGAAGATTGTTTGCCTCTTTCACTTCTTATTGCTGTCATTTATGGCTGTAAAACTTCCACGTTTTTTATGTCACTGATGGCTACAAAACTTCCACGTTTTTGATGTCATTTATGGCTGTAAGACCTGCACGTTTTTGATGCCAATCAAATTGCTTAGATACTTTCTTGAGACATGTGTCAGCACGCATTTGTCTTCTTGTCAATCAGGCCGATTCCCGCCTTGATGTTCGTCTCAAACTGAACATCGAGGCGGGAATCGGTATGTCGATTAAAAGCTGCTGTTTCTAACTAACCTGATCGAGCTTCTCTCATGGCTTGGTGATCCAGCCCATCCCCTCCTTCAAATTTTTTGATAATCAAATCAAGTGACACCGTATTGATGTATGGGTGATGGGCAAAACCTCTTAAAGACGTTATTTTGTGGTCATGAACCACTCAAGCCATTGTTGAATTGTCCAGTAAGAAGCTTCATACGTGCCAAGACATTGTCCATTATGTGGACACTACGCTACGCCACTTGCCGCATCCTGGTGCAGCGGCCTTTTCATTGTCGCACATTAACTGCTGCGGCAATTGCACAGGGTAAAGTTCCGATTAATAATCTCTTTATAACGTCAACAGAAGTGGCCAAGAAGACGGCACCTGTGCTTATTGGTCTAGCGAATACTTTGGAGCAGAAATTTGCCAAAGTTGGATACTTTCGACCTATTCAACCAGGACCGGAATCTAGTTTATCTGATCATCATGTCGAGGTCATGCGTGATCAATTGGGGCTTCACAAGGACGTCAAACAGCTCTATGGCGTGACCAGTGAACGTGCTATTGAGTGTTTGCTGCACAGCAAACAGGACGATCTGATTGAGGAGATTTTGGATCGTTACGAGCAATGTCGAGAAGGTTATGACTTTATGATCATTGAAGGATCTCAAATCTCCAATCATGAAAGTGCTATGAGCTGGAAAATAAATGTGGACATTGCTAAAGCCATTGGCGCTCCTGTGCTGACTATCTCAGACTTTAGTGAGTCAACAAACACTAATGGGGAGCTCATTGAAGAACTATTGGCTCGTACGGCACTAAATGCTGATCAGGTCGAACGCGCTGGTCTTAATTTCATTGGTAATATTGCCAACCGAGTCAATGCCAAGGATCCTAAAACTCTGCGCCAAGCGTTGCGCACTAAGATGAGCGAGAAGAATTTGCCGTTCCTGGGATTCTTGCCTAACGACGACTTTATTGCTTCGAAACGTCTGAACGAGGTGTCGCACCAGCTTGGAGCGAAGCAGCTCTTTGGCACGAAAGCCATTCCAAATAATGTCGTGGTGACGTCGGCGGTAGTAGCTACAAGTGCCTTGAAGGATTTGTTCTCGCATTTGAAGAAGTACAAGGATGGTGCTTTGGTGATTACGTCGGCAGACCGCTCGGACATTATGCTTGGTCTGATGGCTTCGCGTTTGCCTGGCATCCTGCCAAACGTGTCTGCCATTGTATTGACAAACGGCAGCTATCCGCACAGCAATACGCAAGAGATTTTGAAGGGTGTCGAGGCTCTTGACAAGACGGGTCTCTCGATTCCAATCTTTTCTGTGCCCGAGGACACGTTCACGACGGCTCAAAAGTTTTCAAAGGTGTCGACAGACATCTTACCCACGAGTCAGCTCAAAATTGATCGATCTAAGCAGCTCTTTGACGAGTTCATTGAGAAGGAGAATCTCATAGGTGAGCTAAACGAGGGTATGGTGGTAAACCGTTCTCCTAAACAGTTTCAGCACTTTTTGTTTTCCAAGTCGCGCGCTGTCCAGCGTCACATTGTGTTAACGGAGGGTGAAGACATTCGCGTGCTCCAAGCTGCCGACCAAGTGCTGCGTCAGAAATTGTCAAAGCTAACGATACTTGGCAATCCCGACGACATTCACCGCCACGCCAAGTCACTAAACTTAGATTTGTCGCATGCTAACATTGTGCACACGGCAGACAGCGACTTACTTGAGAAGTATGTTGACTCATACTATCAGAAGCGCAAACACAAGGGTGTGACCCGCGAGACAGCCCGTGATGCCGTGCTGGAAGAAACGTGCTTCGGCACAATGATGGTTGAGATGGGTGATGCTGACGGTATGGTGTCGGGTGCCTGCCACACCACTGCGAACACTATCCGCCCTGCACTGCAGCTTATCAAAACGATGCCAAACCGTCCCATTGTATCAAGCATCTTTTTCATGTGTCTTGAAGATGGCGTGCGAATCTACGGCGATTGCGCCGTCAACACGGACCCGAACGCACAGGACCTTGCACAGATTGCCGTGACGAGCGCTGAAAGCGCAGAGGCATTTGGTCTGATTCCAAAGGTGGCGCTGCTGTCGTACGCGACAGGTGACTCGAACTCTGGCCCAATTGTTGACAAGGTACGTGAGGCGACAGAGATTGCACAGAAGTTGCGTCCAGACCTGGACATCTACGGTCCAATTCAGTACGATGCTGCTGTGGACGAGTCAATTGCAAAGACGAAGCTGAAGGCGATTCCTAGCGGTGCTAAGGTTGGCGGCCAAGCGAATGTGCTGATCTTCCCTGATCTGAATACGGGTAACAACACGTACAAAGCTGTGCAGCAGAGCACTGGTTGCATTGCGATGGGTCCGATGCTACAGGGTCTGCGAAAACCTGTGAATGATCTGAGCCGTGGAGCAACAGTGAAGGACATCGTGACGACTGTGGCGATCACTGCAATCCAGGCAGACCAGGTGATTCGGACCCGCAAGGACCATACTGCTGCAGCCAAGTACTAAATGATGGTGATGGAGTAAATGGTGAGACTACAGCGTCCAAGGCGATTGCAACAAAAGGCGGCGTTTTTCACACTATCGCTAAGGGTAACAGGGCTAAGCGTTCGAAGGATGTTTGCAGCAAATGTGCATAATGAATCTAATTTATCTCGTTTGAGTGCATTCAATGTGATTTCATTCACTCCATTGAGACTACGTATACCACGTCGTAGCTTTCATATGAAGAAGCGCCATTCACGAAAGTGCTCCCGTTGAGGTAGTAACCTCAAAAAGACAGGTTGTAGTTGCTAGCAACGCAAACCGAGGCCGGCACAATGCAATTGTAAGGTGCTTGATGGGCTATCGTAGTGTTGGTTGGATAAGATAGACAGTATAGGTGATCATATACGTGACCATCAATCTCGATTGTTCCGTCGCTCGATTGTTCGTCGTATCACACCGTCACTGTTCCTTTCCGTCTTAGTAAATCTACAGCACTAGATAGTTCATGCTCAAACTCTCCCTTCACCGCTTCCGTATGCGCTATTCTGCAGATGCACCCGTGATGATATTTGTCAGCAAATTTCATAGTCGTCATAATCTGATGCGCATCTTGCTTCAACACCCAAATTTCTCTCCATCTTTACTGCCAGCTCCTAATGCTTTTATTCCCACGAGAAACGCATGGGCTTGTCCAAATCTTTTCGTACACGTTATTGAATGTCGGTATTCTTAAAGCGATTGTTTGTCGACGGCAGTTCGTATTGCTTCTGATCTTCCACATGGCTTTCCTCGCCTCTATTACCTCGTGTTGCATCCAACCCGCCATTGCATTATTCTAGCTCTCCTTGTCACGACTCCTAACGTTGTCGAATTTCGTTTGTTCACACCTTTGGTAGCATCTTGTAATTTTCTGCGCTTTAAACTCTTGTTGCTGCATTGAGTTTCTGCTGCTGCGGTTTAACCAATGCAATCCTTGCCGCTCTTGTTGTCTCCGACATTTTGCTGATTGTTAACAGATTCATGTCGCTCTAAACATCTCTTGCACGTGTTGCAGCTTTCTGCTTGTTTAACATCGCTATTTCGGGTCCTTGTTGGTAATAGAAAGACCTTCGAGTTGTTTCTAAGTTAACACCAGCTTTTGTGCTTCAAAACAAGAAACAAACGCGTATAATTATCGGCAGAGCTATGATGGCAACCTCTGTCCTGTGATCTCCATGCAAAGCTGACGCATAGCCGTACTCGCTCAGTCTTCTTCGTCCATCATAACGGGTTTGAGACTAAAATTCAAATAGATAGCACGCAAACTCTACGCACTGATCGTTTTGTAAAGCTCAGTATACCTTCGAAGTCATGATGAACAGGATGTTAGCAAAGTGCGAATTCGTCTCCAGTTCAGTGCGTTGGTGTCAAGTAGCTGAAAAGAAAATTCAAGCGGGTTCGGTTGATGACCGAGATAGCCCAGTCGTCCGCAATAGATATAGGGACCCTACGTCATAGCAATACACATTTCAACAGAGTAGATGCACAATGTGAGCGTCGCAATAATGCAGTCGATACGTGCTTGATATTTATTACCTTTGGATACTGGACAAAAAGCAGGAGAGATTCCGGATTCTGAGTCGGCGTTGCAGCGTCGTAATAGCTCTTGTTCAAGCGTAAATGTTCTTCACCTTTTTGCACTTGACACATACGCCATAGAATTGGTGGCGTGACGTCTTTACTGCGGCTCCATCGAAAGTAAACGTATATGCGGCCATCATGCCTTGTTTCTTCAAACATGTAATGGTAGAACAATCCCGTGGTGCCACTGACAAACAACGTCATTGCGTTTTTCCAGACATGAATGTCAGCATGTTCTTGAAATGCCGTTATAAATCCTCCTGGACACAGACCTTGCATCACAGCTTTTTTTCCTGGAGGTAAAAACTGTTTGCCGAGCGAGAATGCATGGAAAAGATCTACATCCACATTCAACAGTGAGCTTAACACCAGCGGCTTTGTTTTATAGGAACCAATCGGGTCAGATATCATCACAAGAGGCAAATGAATTCTCTGTACAGGATAAATCTCCCTCCTCCATGTATCTTCCTTTTCACGCAATCGCTGTCGTTCATTTACCACCGTGTCGTCCAACACTACCTTTACCAGCGCATTTTGATCGTGCCGTTTCTTCATCTTTTCATCTTTGACCCTCTGTTTCACGACACTTCGTGCCAATCGATCTTCTTGTCGCATCAGCTCACCTTCTTCCATTCTCTGCTGCAATGCCAATTCCTTTTGTACACTCTTTTCCAGTTTGTCTCTCTCCTTTTGTCTCTTCTTAGCTTTTCGTTCCCGTGCTCGAATCCTTTCCCACTTTACTTTCTCTTTCAATCTCCTTCTCTTCTTCTCTTCTCTCTTTTGCACCGTTACTTGTCTCCTCTCTTTTCGAAGCTGTAATTTCCTCCTCATTCTCCAATCCAGTCTCTTCCACTGCTCTTCTTGTGCATCCAGTACCTCGTCCTTCTTTCGATCTTCTCCATGAAATAATGTAGCCGCTTTTACCTCCTCTTCTTCTCTTCTCCTTGCTTCCAGTGTACTTTTCACGCTTTTGTCACGTGTTTTCTTCTTTTTCAGCCAATTTTGCTCGGTTTTTCCCCCTTTTTCCACGTCCTGCCACGTGTTTCTTTCTTCTTCCTGTACCACGGCCTTGCATTGCTCTTGTTCCATCACTTTGTCCTTTTTTACCTGTCGTAATGACCGTCTTGTGGGAGTTCTCCTCGATCGTTGCAACGTCTCGAAACCTCGTTTTCGCTTCGTACATTCATGCGCGAGAGATGGATTCGTACTTAATGATACAATCTGAAGCTCCTGGAGTTTCTCTTGGTTCGCAGCTATACGTCGTTGCCGCTTGACTTCATATTCTGACGCTTCTTCCGTCATCTAGAGCGTCTACTAATACTAAATGACTGGGCTATCGCGTGATGAAATGATTGTACATTATGTAACGATATATATATAGTTTCAACCAATCATAGCACGTGAATAGATGAAACCCACTCTTTTTCGCACGAATCATAATGCCCGTAGATTGTTACTTTTGAGACCATGTTTTGTTTTGTCATTCTAAAAACTAAATACCATTTGAACGTTAGGTTGAATGTCAAATGGTGGTACTATAAGAAATAAAGCGACGGGAAAGTATTACAATCCATTTTAGGATTATAAAGAGTTAGGTATAGATTTTGAGCCAGGGACAAGTAGTTAAATCAGAGTTATGAACCCTTTTTTAGTAAGACGTATTTACACTAACGAGCAAAAGGAATCGATATCATTGTCATTTAGAAATCAGGGTCCAACATCAACACATACACCTGACTTTGACATCCACCCTCGCCCCTTTCACTTGACCCTCTCCATCATCTATTACCTTATACTAATGTATTTGCAGAACTAACACTATGCTGATGGACACGAAATCCTATCACGACAATTGCAACAGTTGCCATTAACAATATGCAGTATGCAACGATCATACCTTTTAAATCCCCAGTAACATCCATAGCCCTGACTCTTTTGAAGAATGATTTAATCATCCCAGGCTCTTTAGGAGCTGCAACACCCTTACTTTTGCCACTGATAGTCTTGCTTTTAGTAAGATCCTTTTCATTCTTTAACCCTCCAACGTATTTGACAACTCTCGGATTGTTTTCGATAAACCTTGCAATAGCAGAACTTTTCTCTTTCAAATACGATATCAAGTTCGGCATTCCAGGAATTTCAAACCTCTCTTCTTCTTCTTCTTCCGTGTCTTTTGCAGTCGTAGTAGTAGTTTTCGTTTTGACACCATTGTTGTCAATGGCAAGAACGGAGTCGGAATCTCTTTGATTCTTGGCATTGTTGGCAAAACCCTCGATGCATCCGACAATAGCAAGTAATAGCAGTAGAAAGAAATAACACTTGCGCATGGATAGCAGAGAAATAGAGCAAGGGATAGAGTTTGATTGAGTGTTTAGAGATCAGTTTTAGAATGGTATTCGAAGCAGGAAGACCATTCATGGATTAATGATTTGATACGGAGAGGTTGTTATTTGCTTGCGACCTGTTTTTCATCCAATGCTACTACTATATATTAAGTTTCACAATCATGAAGCAGTCCAGTGTATTTGACCTCAAGTCAAATGTTTTCAAGGGTCATCAGATTTATGTGACAGAAAAATGACGACGATCAGATAGGGCACACAACTTCAATGCTGACATTTCAAATTCCAAATATATTAGTTATCGCAGCTGATATATTTTGAATGAAAGGATCATATCTGCTAACAAAGGCTATCAATTCACAACAGGTCTAAGACACATAGAATATTCCAGTAGTCTATAGCTGGTTTGATAGGTTCTTAGCTAGCAGCACTGGTTTTTAGTGTAACCCCGCCACATGTTTATAAGAAATAGCAGGACATTATGATTTATCATAATGACTAGATGCAACTGATCTTTCACGTCATTTAACACATGGTTGTGGTATAATTAGTACTCATATCTAATCGGCAATGTTACATATACTTGAGCATGTTAACCAAATGATCACACAAAAGAACCACACAGCACATTTTGACTAGACTTCGCTATTATAAAGTTACTATAATTCCAACTGAATTGACGATGCAATGTTATTTTGATCGAATTCTGACAATAACGTCTACATCCACCGATAATAATCGACGGCCATGAAGCTGGCTTGCTTCACATGACACCACGAGACAAAATATTTAAGAAAAAGTGGCGGCCTTGGCAGCTGGCTGAAGCACAGCTACCACACATCGTATCAAAGGATTGAGTTGAAAGGAGATCAGTAACATCTGCTATTCTTGCGCATCATTGAACATTTGCTCTTCTCTTTGAAGAATTACTTGTGTGACTCGCTCATTCTGTAACTTGTCTCCAAGAACACAGTCAATTGAAATACGATTTATTTTTGCAATGACTCCTCGAGTCCAACTTGGCTTATCAAGATTCTATTGGGACGTCTTGTTCGGTGCTCTGTTTCTACTAGCAACGTTCAGTTCAGCCACGAGAGATGCCAACTCCGCGCCAGCTTCAAGCCTTGATTTTGATGACAATAGCGTCAAGAATCACATCAGATCGAGCAACACGTTGCAAGGGCTCCAGCAAAATGGCAAGGGTTCTGAAGAGAGAGAGTTCATACCCCAGGTTGCTTCTATGGTCACGAAAATATTCAAGATAAAGGAAAATTACTTTCCGTTCAAGGCATCCAACAAAAAACAGAGTGTCGTAGATTCGCTCTACGAGAAATACGTCGTAAACGATGAATATTCCACTTCACTTTTTAAAACTATTGGGTATAGAGGGTGGGCAGCCCATGTTCGGATCATATTCAATGGAAACGTTGAAAAGACCGAGAGAGCCATCATCGAAACGTTGACAAAAAAATTTAACGATGGTACGTTGCGAACTATGTTGGAGAATGCAAAGAAACAAAAGGATCAACAGGTCAAAGAAATCGCTAGCAAGCTGGAAATTGCACAGGCATTGAACTGGGCAAAAACGGAGAAGAGCCCAGAAGACGTCATTGGATGGCTTGGATTCAATGATAACTGGGAGAACCTTTTGACAAGCCCAGCACTGAACATTTGGTATATCTATGTCACAAAACGTGGAAAACACGAGAATCCGTTTGATCTCTTGGTGACACAACTGACAATGGCCCATAAGGACGAAGAAATAGGCGAAATCTTAGTGAGGGCGACAAAAAAAAAAAAAAAAAGGTGGTACGAATGACTTGGAGCTCTATGATAGTTTTGTAAAGGCGCTACTCACGCACTGGTCGAATGATCCGAAAACGAGCACGGAGGTTTACTCGTTGTTTCAGATCGACAAGGCAGATAATGCATTGGATAGTCCTCTCTTGCTCTTGTGGGCTTCCTACTGTGATTCAATGGGGCACGATCCGGTAGCATTTTTGTTTGAAAATTTGCAAGCTCACTACAAGCATGACGAAAAGCATGACGCAAAACTTGCACGTGCGATAATCGATGCAAAGCAAAAGCACCCCCACGACGAATTTTTTGTAAAGATGGAGCAAAAACTGTTGACGACATGGCAGGCAGAGGAAAAAGACGAGGGTCTAGTTTTCGATCTTCTAGGATTGGACAAGGTTGAGACTAACATATTTGCACTTCCGGCCATGGAGACTTGGGTTTTGTACGTCCAAAAGTTAAAAGGGGAGAAATGGAAGGTGGCCGTTTTGAAGTTTCTTCAAAGAAGTAATTACGATATTCATCAGGGCAACACGATTGCAAACGCCAAGACTTCAGATATTGCTGCAATGGTGGTGGTGCAAGCTTGGCTTCAGGAAGGAAAAGACGATGCTGACGTATTTGAACTTCTTGACGTGATAAGTGAACCAAATGGTATCGATCCTCGATCTCTTCGTGTCTGGGCGTATTTTGTAAAAAAGCTTAACGCTGCCACGTATCGAGACAACATTCCGGATGAGGCTCGGTTGATTACGCGCTTGCTGAATTACGCAAATGAAAGCGCTCTGGCAAGAGCGCTGGCAAAGATGAAACATAAAGAGCCTGAACAACACATGTCCTTGTTCTTAACTCGCTTGCAAAACGAACATTTCCAGCTGTTGAAGTCAAGATACCATGACAGGGAGAAGGTTAAACAGTACTTGGTTGACAATCATATCAATGATGAGAGCGTTCAAATGATTATGGTGGACTACGACCTTTTTCTTAAGGGCTCTTGAACGGACCAGTAGATGGCGCTGGCAGATTGAAGCACGGATTGCGGTTTGGAGGCGTAACAATAAGTACTCGTATTCTTGCCCGACTTTGGCATTGGCATTGTACTAGCGTTTATATATTCCTGTTGTCACCCTGAGCTTTGCAGCTTCATAGTCCTCGTTGTTCTTGTTTGTGCCTCCAAATTAACATAGCAGTTTCTCAACCCTTTTAGGTTGGCTGTACAACGATTCACTCCGTCTTCTTGCTCACTGCAGCAATCAAGGGAAGTCTCACAGTCTTGAACTTTTTGATCGGACACGACCACTTCAAGCACAAGCTCAATCGTGAGCGGGTCTTGTTTGAACAGCAGCTGTACTGTTCTGTAGCCGTGTTGTTTTTGTCTGGTAGCAAGCTGCGGCTCCCGCGACTGCACGGACAATGCATATATCATTTCAATCGTGTTTGCGTACAGCCTCGTCCAGCCACTCTGAGCAATGACAAAAGCATGAACCAGAGGAGTAAACGGGTGGGCGAAGTGCATCAAATAAAATCCTGCTGGTCTGGTGTGGGGATGAACAAGCATGAGTGTTTTGTCCATGTCGTCCGGGTGCGACATCTTGACAGAGGCAGTTAATAAACGGCCACCAAGTCCAGGTAGCATGACTTAAGCAGATCGATCCACACAGGCGGCGTGTTGATCAAGTGCAAATTTGCGAGTAATGCCCAAGTTTCCTTCCACCTATGAGAAAGTTGTGTCCTCCTTGGTCTCGAATCTCCATGGCTGCATCGCTCACGTCAAAGCACCATCTGCTGCGATATCAACCGGATCAACTTTTACAAGATGCACAATAGGTATCCGACACCGAAAGTAGCTGTATACTGCACGACATCCCATTCAAGTAGATCTTCATCTATCATATCGTGCATTGTAAACTGGGAGCCCATGTAGTTCTTGTCTCGGGCACCACTGCACGACAGGATGAGCACTTACTACGCTTTGTCGTATCGCCGAGTACACATCCGCTTTCAAAAAGATGACAAAGCTCACCAGCATGTCGTACTGCCGTCATAAATATACCGCTCCTGTGTACCAAATTGTGTTCTCAATCCTATCTATGGGTATAGTTTGTAGGTGTTTTCTACCGGGAACGAAGGTAGCACATCAGAGCTTGTGCGAGCGACAAATGCCATAAAGACCGCGCCATGAAAGCGCTATTAACTCCTGCAGTGCGAATAAGGTGATATGACGTAGCGCTGCATCTGCTGGTAAAGGCGACTTCAGTGGAGCCTGGTCGTATGCACTCATAAAGTTTACCAGAATAGCCTTCTTCATGTTCACAAAGCATTATGGACAGCTTACTTCCATCTCGTTCGCCAACTTCTGCGCATATTGAGACGCCACTCTAGTGACTTCTCTACACATGGGCCACAAACCTTTCTCACGCACCCAGCTCAATGCACCCAGCTCAATGCACCCAGCTCAATATAGTCCTTGTACAAGATTTGTCCACGGTACGTAGCGTCTACCGCGTTCGTAAAATTTCCTGACAAATGGCACACTCCAGCATCTTGCAAGTATTCTCGAGCACTTCCAATTGTTCGTCTCTCCAAATGAGCTCCACAGTCAAGTACGCTAATATGCTCACCAAGTTACTAGCAGCTAACGCAGATACTGCAGTCTGTTGTCATCAAAATGTCTGCTCTTAAGCGTCAAGTGGATCTCAATGAGCACGTCGACACTTCTTCACATTGTGCTGCACTGCTACGTTTCTCTCGACTAAAGGTGCAGTCTCTGGCTTCGATTGTTCTCCTGTCACATCCATTCGATCGTATCCGCTGATTGCATTAAGCCTCGCTTTGTGCTTGACACCTCCTCACCAATTTAACAGAACGACCTGTAGAATGACTGCCGTTCATGCAGTTCACGGAAGCTCCTGCTAGTCTACAAGATCCTCAGCTGCTGCATCGACAAGCGTTCGTACTATCACATGGAGATACAACTCGAGCTGCCAACGTACTGCAACGATCGATCCTGGCCGTCGGTTGATGATCATTTGTGCTGGCAGTGCCAAAGTTCTATAGTTTGTAGCGTTTTGTTCGTTCACAGACGCTAGTCACGCGGCATCAAGACAAGAGGTTTACCATTGGTAATTGCTAGAATGCTGCATGAATCTGGTCTGCAATGACACTGGAAGATAGTCTGTGTCGAGAAGTATGGCTACTACTGCAAAGTTCATGCTTTCTACGCACAAGCCGTCTATCTATTTGAATGCAAATATCAAGACGAGAAACATAAGACGTCCTCGTTTCTGAAGATACTGTACGCGGCCATAAGCAAACATGTATATGTGCATGCAAGAGGAATGGCATAACAAGTCACCATCATGGAAATGCTCAGCGACGTGAGTCTACCAAAAGCTGATCCACAGCGTCACGAGGCTAGATTCGTCTGCTCACTGTGTTTGAGGGCGGTCAGCATCATACGCGTTTGTATCCAATCGCCCATGACGGCACAAACCGCTACATGGCGTACACCGAAAGCTTTGTACCACCGCCGAGCCTCTTGACGGGTGAAGTGAGTCCTGTAGCAGCAATAAGACCTTTGCAGTCATTACCCTTGGTGTCATGCTTTGCGTGGCGATGTTTGACGGAGCTGAAGTACAGTAAGGAGATGCACCCCAGTCAAATTTATCATGTCAACCGAAGCGCAAGTTTTTCCACTACAGCGTTGATACAGCAGAACCCTTGACGTTGATTGATATGCATCCGCTAACAATATCACGGCAGCAAGTTGATTATACGACTGCAAATGGTGACAGCTTTGGCTCAGTGGTGGCGCTGTAACAAGGTGCAGCATGTGCAGTGTGCTACTTGACATGCATCAAAATCGACCTTGATCAGAAAGGATAGTGTCAACTACACCGACGACTGCAGTAACAATAAACATAGCGTCGAGATGAAGACGCTTGAAGTGCGTATCACGCTTTGCACACAGCGTAACGAGGCTGTAGCCGATTGCAATGACTTATGCGTTGTCCGTGCAGTCGCGGGAGCCGCAGCTCGCTACCAGACAAAAACAACAGCGGGTACAGAACAGTACAGCTGCTGTTCAAACAAAACCCCCCCACCAATAAACTTGATGTTTGAAGTCGTCGTGTCCGATCAAAAAAGTTCAAGACTGTGAGACTTCCCTTGATTGCTGCAGTGAGCAAGAAGACGGAGTGAATCGTTGTACAGCCAACCTAAAAGGGTTGAGAAACTGCTATGTTAATTTGGAGGCACAAACAAGAACAACGAGGACTATGAAGCTGCAAAGCTCAGGGTGACAACAGGAATATATAAACGCTAGTACAATGCCAATGCCAAAGTCGGGCAAGAATACGAGTACTTATTGTTACGCCTCCAAACCGCAATCCGTGCTTCAATCTGCCAGCGCCATCTACTGGTCCGTTCAAGAGCCCTTAAGAAAAAGGTCGTAGTCCACCATAATCATTTGAACGCTCTCATCATTGATATGATTGTCAACCAAGTACTGTTTAACCTTCTCCCTGTCATGGTATCTTGACTTCCACAGCTGAAAATGTTCGTTTTGCAAGCGAGTTAAGAACAAGGACATGTGTTGTTCAGGCTCTTTATGTTTCAACTTTGCCAGCGCTCTTGCCAGAGCGCTTTCATTTGCGTAATTCAGCAAGCGCGTAATCAACCGAGCCTCATCCGGAATGTTGTCTCGATACGTGGCAGCGTTAAGCTTTTTTACAAAATACGCCCAGACACGAAGAGATCGAGGATCGATACCATTTGGTTCACTTATCACGTCAAGAAGTTCAAATACGTCAGCATCGTCTTTTCCTTCCTGAAGCCAAGCTTGCACCACCACCATTGCAGCAATATCTGAAGTCTTGGCGTTTGCAATCGTGTTGCCCTGATGAATATCGTAATTACTTCTTTGAAGAAACTTCAAAACGGCCACCTTCCATTTCTCCCCTTTTAACTTTTGGACGTACAAAACCCAAGTCTCCATGGCCGGAAGTGCAAATATGTTAGTCTCAACCTTGTCCAATCCTAGAAGATCGAAAACTAGACCCTCGTCTTTTTCCTCTGCCTGCCATGTCGTCAACAGTTTTTGCTCCATCTTTACAAAAAATTCGTCGTGGGGGTGCTTTTGCTTTGCATCGATTATCGCACGTGCAAGTTTTGCGTCATGCTTTTCGTCATGCTTGTAGTGAGCTTGCAAATTTTCAAACAAAAATGCTACCGGATCGTGCCCCATTGAATCACAGTAGGAAGCCCACAAGAGCAAGAGAGGACTATCCAATGCATTATCTGCCTTGTCGATCTGAAACAACGAGTAAACCTGCGTGCTCGTTTTCGGATCATTCGACCAGTGCGTGAGTAGCGCCTTTACAAAACTATCATAGAGCTCCAAGTCATTCGTATCACCTTTTTTTTTTTTTTGTCGCCTTCATTAAGATTTCGCCTATTTCTTCGTCCTTATGGGCCATTGTCAGTTGTGTCACCAAGAGATCAAACGGATTCTCGTGTTTTCCACGTTTTGTGACATAGATATACCAAATGTTCAGTGCTGGGCTTGTCAAAAGGTTCTCCCAGTTATCATTGGATCCAAGCCATCCAATGACGTCTTTTGGGCTCTTCTCCGTTTTTGCCCAGTTCAATGCCTGTAATTAGTTGCTAGCGATTTCTTTGACATGTTAATCATCTTGTTTCTTTGCATTCTCCAACATAGTTCGCAACGTACCATCGTTAAATTTTTTTGTCAACGTTTTGATGATGGCTCTCTCGGTCTATTCAACGTTTCCATGAATATGATCTGAACATGGGCTGCCCACCCTCTATACCCAGAACTCTGAAAAAAATCTGGCATGGATGCATCCGCGCCTGCGTTGTATTTCTTGTAGAGCATGTTGACAGCATTTTGTCATTGAAACGAAAGCTTTGTACATCTTGCGGGTTGATATTCACCGGTGTAGCTAATGTAAACGATGCTAATAGTAGACATAGAGTACCGAATCGTACGACCCAATGGAAGTTTGAAAACCCCAAATGGTCTTGAAACGTCATTTCAAAGGACAAATACGAAAAAAAGCTCTTGGAGTCAATTCTGCTTGAATGCAAAGTTTAGAAATGAACGTTTATTCATAACTTAGGTACGTAAGTGAACGTGGATACCGATCAGAAAATATATATACATGATTTGCTACAAAGGTATTGGCTGGATCACTATACAAAACACAACACTTTGATACTGATCTCATTTTGGATTTTACATTTGATGAGTCGAGGTGAGTCGAAGAGCTCTGTTAACAGCTAATCAATCATAAGTCAATCACTGGATCGGTAATACCCTATTTTATGGTGTATTATTACGGTCAGCAAGTTTGTTTTGCTCTGTATATGACAGTCACTGTCGGCTCATGTGAAAACGCCTCTGCAGACGCGGTATCCGTTTCAAAAGTGTGCATCTCTGCATTCACCATCATTAATCGATCAAATAATCCTTTCGATCAAACAATCAAGATCGATCAAACGATCATCGAACATGATAGGATATTGCCTTACATACGTAACAAGAAGCAGGGTTGCTTGTTGTTTGTTCGACAACATCTTGCACATACATCATCGTCCTTTTTTGTGAGCTTCGGGCACGTCTTGCCGTCAGTGACGTTATTAGAGAAATGGCTCTGTAATGCTTCTTGACAAATCACGAACTCATACTGCGCGTGAGCGTGCCTCAGTGATTGACTGGTCAACGTTCGTGCGGTGAGCTTCGTAAGTTCTGGCATCGCCGTACCTGGATGCTGGGCTTTGCTTAACGTAGCCAGTGCCCTCACGCTTTGGCAGCCTCCACCGTATACGCAAGCTTTCTAATGGCAGGTCACCCACCGCCCAGAGGTGATTGAATGGAGTCCGGCAAGACCTAAGTCGCCCTGCCGCCTGACGCATGCCCAGCACTGGTATTCACTGGATACTTAACGGTACGTACATACATGCCTTCGGTGGGGTGGAGACTGACGAACTCACGCCGTTTACAACCGAAACTGAGAGGCATCAGGTTTCTCTTCGAACACATCCTAGCATCCCCTCAGGCGATTCTCAACGATAGCCTGTTGGTCTCATCAACATGCGCTGCCGACGCAGTTGAAAAGTGATGATAACAAACACTGAGTACTAATAGTCTTAATGCCGCCAAGCTACTGCTAAACCAATGATTGAGTTAGAAATAACAGCAAAGCTGTGTGTACTCTGACTTTATTTAATAAAGAACTAATCGACTAATGCTAGGAGAGAAAGAGACCCGCATTCTCTTAATCGTGACACACCCACCATTGTCTTGACCCAACGACTCCTGCCGTTCGATACTTCCCTCAGCTTAAAAGTCTTCGCGCATCAGAACTTACTTACTTAACCAACGAGACACCAACGCGACTTTACACAAAATACATTTCGCCCTTCATGGCTGGATGCACGTCGTACATGCGGGTGTCTGCTTCCGGTGCGGTGTCACTAACGCCAGAAACGGTCGAAACAGTATCGCTGCCATCCACCAAGAAGAAACGAGCACGAAACGCTACCAGGTGCGAGTAGTACGCTGACGGTACCATTGACACAGAACGAGTGCAGCGCGCGAACGTATAACATAGTCGATACGTTAGCGTTTGCAGCTCATCGGCTGTAAACTCAATCTCATTCAGAAGCACATGGTAGTGCGTCGGACGACTGGTACCTTGCAGTCCAGCATGGCTCATCAAATAAAAGTCATTTTCGATGGGGTGGCAGATGCCCTGCTCCACAACAGTGCCTGCCTTGACGTTGCCACTTCGGTCAGCATCCTTCGCACTGTCAGGAAATAAGCGCGTATTGTGCCTCTTCTGAACAATAACGAACGTGATAGGCGGCATGTAGCCCACCTCCAGAGCCTGGCATGCCTCACGTATAGCCGTCACCTCATAGTTCAGGACCATGTGAAACTGACCTTCGCTCACACCGTCACGGTAGAACACGATGCGATCAGGCTTGCTGTGTGTTTGGTGGTAAAACTGCTTCATGAGCTCCATGGTCATGTTTTTTAGATGCATTATCTGTTCGACCCGGTGACCTTGCGCGCGAATTGCCGATGCGTGACGGATAAAATTCGCATCCATCGACGCCGTAACAGCGGCAATAGACGGACGCGTCTTGTCCATTGGGCTGGGGTGAGTGACGTCGGCTCCAAAGATAATCGTGCGTGAAGTCGACACACGGGGCAATGGGCCACTAATGACACCGTTCTTCCCACCAAGCTTCGTATTTACCTTCATCAAGATATTCGCAATGTATTGCGGGCTACACTTTTGAATATGCTTGGACAACATGCACTGTGATACAATTCCCATTCCAGCTTCCGTGTCTGACATTAATTTAAGCTCACCGTATGCTTGTGCATCAGCAACTGGATTAATCATCCACACAACTTTTGGAGGCGTCTTAAACGCTTGGTTGGCAGCCTTGACCGCGGCTTGAAACAGTCCACGCACTGAATCCTCTCGGCCCTGCTTCAACAGGATCGGCGGCAATGCCGGAGGGCACCGCATTCCCAACTGCCCCATTTGAGTAATTACAGCTTTAAAAAACTTTTGAATATCACCGAGACCGCAGCGCCTTGGATCACACATACTGATAACGGCCCATGACGGGCACTGCGCTGGCGTGTTAAAACGCTTGCCACGCATGTTCCAAGCTCCATCACGAGGACTCTCGCGAGCACCTCCACTGTACTCGATAGTCGGGGGCGGCAGCTGGCGGCCGGTCGTCTCCACCATTCTCGGGTCAACGTCCAGTCCAAATGCTTGGAGCGTCGGGTCCGTGCTAAATCCAGCCTCTCGGAATTTTTGCTCAATTGCGCGTTTGCGCTTGTCTGGTGGCGTGCAGGTAAACTTGATCATGTTGGCCACTTGTTTATCCGTGACCTTACGGGGACACTTCTGTCCGGCAATAATGTGGCATACCTCCATCGGCAAGTAGTTTTTCTTCTGGGGTGCACCAACATGCAGACACGGTAACTTTGGGTAACGAAGACGAATGTTGTATGTATTCTGAAAATACTGCGCAACCGACATTCTCTCACCGTTATCATTCTCAAAGAACGTTTTCTCTGCACTCTCTTTCGACAAACCATTCACGCGATAGCTGCGACGCACTCCTGGGCGATGAGTAATACTCACTTTGACACCTCGTATAGCTTTACTAAATGCCGAGTGCTGATACTTGGCCAGCGTTGTCGGCATTTGTCGCATTGACAACGTTGTACATAAAAAATCAACCACTGCCATTTCTTCCACAAACGCTGTTGCCGCCAAATCCAAATTCACAACCAGTCGATTCTGTGTAGCTCTTAAGCTTTGAAAATATCCATACCAAAGCTCTGCACCTTCTCCAAGTGACGTAGCTCCCTCTCGATGAAACAAATTACGGCCTACTACTGTAAATCTTTGCGACGCCGTGTGACGTAGTGCCACATCCAGTGCCTGTAATGCATCGTAGGGTGTATAATTAAGACGTCCCGCAAATAACTCTTCCAATTGCTGCATACGAATGGCAACTGGGTTTGATTCCTTCACTACTGCTGAGAATACTTTTGCTTGATTCCCATCATCCGGTAATACTAACCCTGGAAACTCTTGAAGCTCAAAAGGCAGTTTTTTCGGTGCATAAATATTCTTGCGACCATCCGAGACTGTTTTAATACTTGGATATTGCCGTTCCAGCTCTTGCATCAATGCTTTCATAATCTTATGGGCCAATGCCTTGGGTGGACCATCATTCCCAAAACTTTTCTTATCATCGGCCATCATGACATCATAGTGATAAATATCACCTGTCAAATTAAATTTTACTTTAAAATGATTTACATAGAGTTTCACAGGTTTACCAATTTGTCCAAATCCAGGACGCGGTGGAAAATGTGTCTGAACAAGTGGTTGGACGGGTTGCAGCGGATCCGATACACGTACTTTCTCTTCCAATTGTACAGCAAGTGACTCGACACGAGAGGAAGCTCCAGTTGGAACGACCCGTGGTGAGGCTGGAGAAGGGGCAGTGGTCTGGGATGGACGCGTAGTCGTGGATGGAATGGCATTACCACGTCCACGAGACGCAGTTTGCCCACGTCCACGTCCGCGTCCAGTCCCACGGGCACGACCAATACTTAATTCAGTCTCTTTCTGCTGCTTGTTCTGCCGACCTGGCATTTTGAAGAATGAATGACAATGGAAAACGATCGAAGCAAAAGGAAAGATTGAATACCTGTATGAAATAATAGTTGTTACTTCAATGAGAGTGGGAAATGCTTTTTTGGGGGGGATGGGAAAGGGGGGAAGGGGATACGGTGTGGCTTGCGTGTTACTTCACACGCTTCATTATGCTATCTGACTCACATTGAAATAAAGTGCTTTTTTTTCAACTGTAATGAACGAGAAGGCGCAATGGAATAAAGCGGTTCAACTGTTTACATACAGATGAAGGTGAATATGCTCAAGGGTATATACAATTTCTATGTGTTTTCGATAGGAAATGATGGCGGTATTTTGTCTCGTTAAGTTCGTGGTCAAAGGTCTTGCGTCATCCTGCCTGATGCACATCATATAAGATTGTCGTCACCTATAGAAGATTCTAGTCTAGGGACAACGTGAGACATGATTTGTTCGATACAAAATATCAGATTTTCAAAATCGATGGCGTGAGGTTTTAAGGCTTAAAGCTCAGTGCGGTCAACTTTAGTCACTTAGCGAATACTTTTTATAAGCTTGAACGCAAAGTATATGTAACATGCTGTTTTCACCATAGTCTTGCATCATGAAATTGCAGTTACTTTATCGACAAAATAAGAGATTACAAGTGTCCGCCGCTATTCTGTTGATAGAGACGTCTTATGTGGAAAGCAATTGGCACATTGTTGGAACGTTTAGTTCATCTAAACGCGCACGGGATTACCATAAAGGTGAACGATACCATTGTGACGACGAGTCGGTAGCCGTGTGTTTCAAGTGACGATCAATACAGCGCAGCAGCTGTGGATTTATTATTCTCGGCGTGGTCAACTACAATTTGAAATGGTGACGAAACCCATAATTCAGTTTACTGTATGACATGGAGATGTATTGTGCTTACATAGAGCTTAAAATTGGTCAAACACGTCAAATGCTGCTCTGTCTTCACCATACAAGACGACAGCGTCGTCAATGGGTGAATCCGGATACTCATCAAAGTGCGTGTGATCGCCAGGACCTCCAACTGGTGGCAAATACGGCGGCGTATCCGAGCGGGCGAGTACGGCGTCCCAGTCCACTTTGGCGAAATATTTATGCTTTTTTACGTCCTCCGATCCGCCTCGTAAGCAACCTGGATGCACAATCAGAATAACGAGACATATTGTGAGGGGTTTGATTCTAACGCACTAGATAACCGAGATATTGAGACGCACCCAGTCGTTTCGTACGATCTTGCGATAGAAGCTTTTTAATGAGGTCCTTTGCCTTGGAGTCTATATGCTTGGGAAATTCCACCTTCCCGTCCAAAATCTTCTGGTAAATACCAAACGGGTTTTCGTCGTAAAAGGGTGGATACCCCGCCAGCATTTCGTAGATGAGTACACCGAGCGCCCACCAATCGACCGATTTGCCGTGTCCTTTGCTCTGAATAATCTCAGGTGCGAGGTATTCTGGTGTGCCACACAATGTCCATGTCTTGTCTTCGACAATTTTGGCAAACCCAAAGTCAGTGATTTTGAGAGATCCTTTTGATGTGATGAGGAGGTTCTCTGGTTTCAAGTCTCGGTAGATAATATGTTGAGCGTGAAGATAAGACATTGCCATGACCAATTGCGATGCATAGTAGCAAGCTACATGATCCTGGAAGCGACCTTGACGTCTTAGGTAGGAGAACAACTCACCTCCTTGTACGTACTCAAGTACCAAGTAAAGTCTTCGTTCGTCTTGGAAATGACCCTGATAATTAACAATGAATGGATGATTAATCCTGCTCAGAATATCCACTTCACACTTGATATGATGCAATTGTTGTAATCTTAAGATTTCACTTTTCTTGAGAATCTTTAGCGCATGGAATGACCCCCCATCCTTCAATTGCACGAGGCGAACTCGTCCAAATGTGCCCGTGCCTAGCGTTGCCAATATCTCAAAGTCTTCAAGTGAATAAGAACGTCGTATTCGTAGCTCATCCACGGGTAAAGCTGGGGATATAACATCCACTGGTACGTCTTTGCCGTCCATTATAGAGCTATGTGTCTTCTTTTTTCGAAACATTGAGCAAAGTATTAAACTGGTCAATCCTATTGAGTTGTGCGTTAATTTTCCACTAGCACTCAATCACAACAACAACAACTTAAGCAACAAGTTAAGAAGACTCGTGGGTGAGAGCACAAATGGCTCTGACACAGAGCCGAGCACTACAGCTCTTAACGTAGCTCTCCGACGCTTCGGACTGGAAAAGCTCGATCCTTTTTAAGGAATATTATTACTATGGTCGTCGAATCAGGTGAGCTTTTAACCACTAGGAGAGACAATCTCAGTCATACTGGACAGAGATTGGATGAAAAGATGATGTGACTAAAAAGTGAACCGTCTGATCCCAACGAACACGGAACTTATCATGAAATTTAAAACTGCTACAGTATGAAATTGTAGCATTCTGTTTCAGTGCATTGTCATGGATCCTGTTGTACCACGCATTAACGCTCGTTCTTTTTTTCGCTATTTGTTTTAGGTCGTGGAAAGAAAGCATTAGTCTCTCTCGCTCTTATTTATTCTTAGAACATACATATGCCGTTATGACGATTTTTACTTACTATTCGATTTTAAGACATAATCTAGAGCAATAAATAAAAAAAACTTGTTCTAAATGATATTAAAATATTGAAAAAACAGCGACTTTTTCAACTCGGCTTTCTGACTCAAAGAAGACCATTAAATCTCTTGAAAAATGATTTGCATGGTATTAGTAATATGACTGTTAGGACAAACTAACATAATATGAAATTAATTCAGCTATACTATTTTTCTAAGCATATGGAAAGAACAGTCTTTGAATGTTCAAGGAATAAGTGAAACAACGAATCTCTTTTTACTACGAGATCCTCGGAGTTTATGGGCTCTATTATTTGTCGTCATGTTTCCCTCCATATACGAATATTTACGTCTAAGAAAGGGGTGGATGTCATGGAAGTCATCTTGTCTCTACTATTATACTGAATAACATCAAGGTCTATCTATACCAATACTTATTCTAAGGTTCAAACATGTCAAGCGTAGCATCATTTACGCTACGTACACAACATTCACTAACAACAATCATGACCGTCTCATATTTCTGAACGGTCCCACACATACACACTCACTTACTTGACTTGACCCGTTAGTTAGTCAATCCACTTCACTGCCACGAATAGTGCCATGATTCTTGGGTCTTTCGGCTCCCATCCGTCTGACAAAAATCAATCAGTGGTAGACGGTCGAGTCCTACCAAACTTTCCAGACGTGCCACTCGCAGCAGTGCTCCCAAAGGGTGATGAGTTGGTAGCAGACCACGCACTGAGCGACGTGTCGCGCGTATTACGCGAAGTATAGCGCTCTGTATCCGAAACAAGCACGGAGCTCCATGAACCGCTAACTTCACTGCTACTTGTCATGGATGATCCTGATGAGTAGAGCGCAGACATTCGCACGTTTAAAGTGTCTATGTCCCCGTTGAAGCTACGCGTGGATGGCACACAGCTTCGAGCGCTAATGACACGAGAATGATTGGCTGCCATCGTATGACCGCGGTCCATCGTATCGGTCCTTGCTGAAAACGTACCGTCGTGCTGATACGAGGGCACTGCAGCCATAAAAGCGGTGCCGTTGCAGCCATTCTCCGAAGTCATATTGTCCTCCATGAAGGTCGGAGAGAGCCGAGCAACCGAGTTCATTTCCATATTGTTACCTAACGAAAGACGACTCTCATCATCTTCAGCACGAGACTTTTTCCGGCTTGACGCGACAAACACCATCAGGAGTCCCAATATACCCGCAACGACACCAATAATAGCAAAGATCGATCCTGTGCCTAAGCTGTAATAACTGGCGGAGCTTGTATTCACATCTGACACACCACCAGGACGAACAAGAAGACCTCCAAGATTGCTGTTGACGCCATCGTTCCTCTGCGTTATATCACTACTAGAGTTTTCCCTTGAGCCGTCTTTGGAACAGTCTGTGCTAAAATATTTGTTGTTGCTTGCTTCCTTTTCCATCGTCACGCCTTCAGAATGAAATAAACTCGAGCTTTTCGTATCGGCAACTTTTGAAGGCTCCTTCAAACTTACGTCAACACTTGGGCTTACGTGAACCTGTCCTGGAATAGTAGCCTTAATAGTACTTCCACTCCCGCTTGCTGAAGATAACGTCTCTGTGTCATTGCTGCTTTTTGAGTCGAAGGAAGCTGGTGATATGGTTGGCTCGTCGGTCTTAACAATAGAGGAGGCAACTAACGGTAAATCGGCACTGCCTGTTTGTACTGCTTGAGTGGCCGTTATGGTAAGTGGCAAAGCGTTACCCTTCTCTGAGGGAATAACCACTGCACCTGCAGAGATCGATCCCGACATGTCAGTCTCAGGATTGATAAAGTCATTATCTGGTAAACCAGAACTAGTCTGTGCTGTAGGCATTGGCTTACCAGGCTGTTGTGAATATGCATCATCTACTGCTTGTGTCGTAGCTAAGCCCGTCATTTTGATGTCACTCGATTTTGAAAACTCCACTGGGGTCTCAGTCGGTGCTGAGGTCGGTGGTGGCTGAGTCGGTAATGATATCAGTGGTGACGGAGTCGGTGCTGAGATCGATATTGTCGGACTTGATCGTACGAATAGTGGTGCTATCGTCGGTGCCACGTTTGATACTTCACCATTAACTCTTGCTTCTGCTTCTGTTCCGTCATTGGTTGCTACTGTTTTCTTCGTCGAGCTCTTCGTCACCAAAGCTTCCGGTGCCACCCCACTCGACTTTGTTGTAGGTATCTCGTCCTGATTTCTAGACTCTTTCATTGTCCTTAACTCGACGTTCTCATTATAATTCCTATCACTTTCTTCTCCTTTCTCGTTCCAAATCGTTTTTATCGTAGAGCCTTCCGTCCTTTTATCATTTGAATGCGTGACCGTCATCGTATCGCTCCTATTATTAGCTGTCCTTGTCGTCAAATCACTTGACATGACTGTATTTCGAGGATCCACCGTTTCGTCTACCATGTTCAAAACAGTGTCACTAGCAATATCGTTAAAAGTAACAAGGATACGAGCTGCGCAATGTGCCACTGCAACCACTAGCACACCAAGCACCACTATTGCGCATCTTTTCTGCGCCATGGCTGCCCTAGGCCAGCTCTACCGCAGCGTCACGGCGTAGTCTGCTGGAAGTTGCGTGAAACGTGAGCGAATACTTCTTTCTCTGAACCAATCTATTGACTGTTTGAAAAGCTGAAACTGTGCTTTTTACTGGCTATCTACGGCACAAAAGGCGCTTATTCATTGCTAGCAGAGCAAGTACGCACACGTAGCCGTGTACAGTAAAATATCGAATTGATCGGATTAGACAAGTTATACTGTTTACAAGGATCATACTAATTTCAGTACTGTTTACAGCCCGTCTTTTTCCGTGAATATGGCTTCACTTTCGCTAGTGAACTAGGCTACAGGGCGTCTGTATCAGCCAAGTCCCAGCAAGTTGAATATGGACACACTACATAAAAAATCACTTGAAATGCCGCAAGAAAGTAGCTTAAACGTCATCTTGTCAAAGCAGTGGACGGTAAAGCTTGAAAGCAAAAACGCACAAAGAAGTCCTTGATTTACAAGTCTACAGGGCTTTCATGTTTGAGGAGATAGCAAAAGAGAGAATCACGATCAAACCGTGCGTGGAATGAAGCTCTTCGGATCCTGAGGAATGAAAACTGTTGTGCATATATCGCATTCACGGCTTGTCAAACAAGACTTGGTGGTAATCTAACAAACCTAATTGGAACATTATGATTTGATATTCAAGCGCTTTTCTTTGACACGCTTAGATCTCTCTATTCAGTACCGTTTGACGGGATTTGGACTGAAGTCGGAGTCGATGTGGTATTGCTAAACAGCATTGTTAGAAGTTGACTCTCCTTGTACTCGACGGCATACCGTTCGACAATTTCATCCACCAGCTTTTTTCGCGTTGGGTATGGTCGTACATACAATGTTGTCTATAATTCAAAACATACGTGCGCATACGTGTTAGACAATAGAGCAAAATTCATGTGAGAAAGCAGCAGCATTCCTGGACGTACCTGAGAGCGACACACTCGGTTTGCGTTCATGGCCGTCTGGCGCACAAGCCGCGCGAGATCGGCCTGATGAATCACCATGCCAGATTGCAGTGGTCCAAAAGGAGGCACCTTATCCTTGATGTGTATCTTGATCAAGAATAAGCCACGTTGCGCCTTTCGGAGGGGATAGATCACAATCTGCACGTCGTTGAAGTGGCTTGTGATGGTTGATGGATCATAGCTCTGGCTTGCGTTGTCGTTCCAGACAATATGCACATAATCATTACCCACATGTCGTTTCTTGTCAATTTGCTGTGGGTCTGACGGCTTTGTAGGCATCATTGTAACTACGTGATAAACCACTTCACTGTGAGAGCTTGCATAATACAGCGTTGTTTTTCCGTTCGACAAGCTTTTCGGGTTTGTATCGAGACCACCCACAAAACCACGGTGAGTTTGCATATCCACCTTCCAGCCCAGTTGCGACAAGAACAGCTCGTAGGCGCGACTACCCTTCTCGTTATGAAGAATTTCCTGTTGAGTTTGTTGGCGTTTACCCACATAAATGACGCCTAGCTTCATTGTCTCACGTGTTGGGCTCTTGTCCAAGTGCTTTAACGACCGCTCAAGCTTTGGTCCATGTTCAAGCAACCTAAGCGTCGATTTCTTTTTCGATTCGCCATCAGGGGATGGCAACAGTCCTGCTTGCGACAGGAATAGCCGGCAAATATCTAACGCGCTCACACGACTGTCTTTCAGGCTGCCATTTGAGGTTGTAAGCAAGCGCTCGGCTGCTGTCTTGCCCGGCCTCGTCATTCGTCCCAATTGCTCGTCTGCGTTGCGCTTCTGTAAGGCCAAATGGGATACTCGGGCGTTTACTTCCGTTATCGAGAACGCGTCAAAAAGAGCAAGTTGGGGTGGGATGGATGGTGTGCTGGAGCTTTTACCGCTACCTGCTGTCATTGAAGCTGGAGGCGGTTGGTCCAGTGCTGCCACATACTTATCTAGCAACCCCGACTTGTTAAAGCCTTCATTCTCAACAAATATCATCGCGCGCTCAAAGAGCGAACCAGGGAGGAAGAATGTGGGCTCGGACGAGTCTTCCGCAGGTGTTGTTGACGCTGCTCTGAGGGCTGTTTGGGCCTGGTGAATCTGGGCTTGAATGTCTGTTGCTACAGCGGTAGGAAAAACAATTTTTTTGCCTCCATCAACTGTCATAAATTCCCAATAGATGACACAAGCCTGACCCAGGCGATCCGTTGGAACCGATGAGCGCTCGTATTTCTTAACTGCATCGCAAAAGTCCACAAGCTCTTTTCCTTCAGCGTTATCGTCTTTTGTCAAGAAATGCTTCAACTGTGAGTAGCACTCTTCATCATGAATTAGCCGTTGTAAGAACGAGAATCCAGGGGCTTCCGCTGAGTCCATCAGAAGAGGGCTTGAAGAAGGTGACAAGTCCATCAAGTTGTACCGCATCATCGAATACCTTCCGCCTAGTAGAGTCTTGTCCGTCGTGTCACCGCCACAATCGCGAAATATCATTGGAATGCTGTCCAGAACAAGATCCAATAGACACCGTTCATCGTCCAAACTGCCAATGTTTGGCTCATTGATAGACATGTCAAAGAGGCCACAGATAGTAGTTGTGGTGCGGCGCTTAAACTTCGACTCAGTTTGTGGCGGGCAATGACACATTATCTTTTGGGGTTCAGGTACAGGCTGTACAGCACTACCCAACTTATTCCGGTCTTCGTGCTGCTTTGCGATGCGCTCAAGTCGCTCCTGTCGATCGTCCTTGTTTCCCCCTACCGGCATTTTATCGATTTCAGATGACCGTGACTTGTCTTTTTTCTTTGCATCGCCATTTTCTTTGAAACCTGCGGGTGTGTGTCCATCGTCATGAAATACATAACTGCTTTCGACTGGACATACATTGTTGGAAAGAACATCTCGTTCATGCTCCCAAGAGACTTGGCGGGCCTCGAGTTTGATAGCATTAGGCACATTCTTCGCGTCAGATACAGCAGGCTTCGTCACAACTTTTTCTCCACCACATGTTTTGCATGTCCCGCCGACGGCATCGGTGCGCTTGAATTCCACCTGCACAGCACCAGTAGGTCTGTGCAGCGTCATTGATTTCGTGCCTAATACATCCGTCTCTAGCGTCAGCTCTCTTTCTACAGGTGCGCCTTTGCTGTTCGCAGTGCTAGCTGCAGCTACATCTCCTCCAATCCATCCCGTCGACGAATGGGCACCGCGAGCCATAACGGCTGGTGTAATCTCCCACGTGAATAGACCGGTCATGTCTCGTACAACAAATCGCGCGCATGGCGAATCAAGACTACCAACAACACTAAACACGATTGAGTCCATGAACACAAAGCTCATGGCGCCAGGTCGCGGTTCATCATCGCCAATTTCACGCAAAGCATCCAGCTCAGAAAGCTCAGAGCAATCAGACATCATCTGATCAACGCCTGCTGGAGACGGAAACCCATTGATATGGTGAAGCAAGTGCATCAGTAGCCCCTCTGCAGCTACTGCAGTCTCTTCAAAGCACTTCAACCATGCATGACCCGGCTCGTTGTCAAGCGACGCGCGCATCTGCAAACCTAAAAACAACAAAGGCATCGACATACGCCTCTCAAGTGTACGCGCGCGCTCAACCTCGCGCTGCCATTCACCATCTGGCAATGTGCCTACTAAAGCTGCTTCGATCGCACCAAAAATCAGCTTTTTCACGTCCGTATCTTGAAGCACCTCGGTTCGATGCATGATCCAGAAACGAAGACACTCAAATATTGCACTGGTTTTCTGTACAATCAGACGAAGAGCCGGGATGTCCTGCTCTCGTTGGGCAGCCAACGAAGCTGATCGAGCAGTGGCAGGGCTAATCGTTGTAGGGGAAGGCGTAGATGAAGGAGCATTTTGAACACCAGACTTCAGCTTACTTTTCAGCTTGCTGAACGCGTCCGTAGCTTCCCCAGAATTACCAGAACTTGAGCTGTCCACTCGGCTAGCCCTAGGATTGTCGCTTCCCCGGCGCACAGCACTAGCTGAGAGATTCGTCCCACCCAAAAGACTCGATCCAGTAAATGATGCCGACATAGTTGCCGAGCTGTCGTTTCCACTCGACAAATCAGCTGCACCTATGCGCTCCATTGCTGATTGAACTTCAATTGACGCCTCTTCGACCTGTTGCTGCGCAAAAACTGCCAGCGTCATAACAATTCGTGCCACCAGAGATGGATCAAAACCGTTAATCTCCTCGTGATAATCCGACATGTCTTGCAGAATAGTGAGCGCGGTTGTAGAAATAGAGAAATCAACATTTTGGCATACCTCCACAAGATAAACAACCCACCCCGAAAGATGAATCGGGTCCACAACCTGTTCTCCCGTCTTGTAGGACTTCAAATTCATCACAACAAGGCAATAAAGCCCCCACAGTGCGCGCTTTTTTATGTTAACGATATCGGTGAACGGAAGCTGGGCGATTCGAACAAGAATGCGGCCCACGATCACGTGGAAATCGTCCAACGTGTCTGGAATCTCCTCCATTATATTTTGCATCAAACCAAGCTCACCAACGCTGCAAACACCTTGAATTTTGTGTTTCCATCGTACAAAATCTTGATTTGGAAATCTCTTGGGCAATCCCATAATGGCAAACACCACGTCAAGCGCCGCATTAAGCTCATTGTTCCATTCCGATGACTTTACATTTGACTTTGTCGCTCGATTCCAGATGTTGCCAATTATAATTTCATCAACCGCGTACAAATATGCGGGCACAAGAATGTTGAGACCTTCAAGATTCATAGAAAACAAAACTGACGACTTTTGCAGCACAGTAGATACAACCACTCCAGACGAAGATGTAATCCCCTTGAACAGAACACGTGCGACAACTGTAAGATGACTGCGTGTGAGCATGTTGATGCAGCGCACTGAGCAAAGCTTGCACAGTGCTACAATTGCAATGCAGCGAGAGTTCTGAAACTCTACAGCATCCAGTTCGCACGCAGGCAAGAACCACTCGCCGAATAGTGCGAAAACCGTAGATGGACTAATTTGCTGCAGGTCCGAAGGTTGAGCACGTTGTGCTCCTATAGCTGATTCGATCCAAAGTTCCACAAGCTGTAGCATACCCTCGGTTAAATTCAAATGCATCGAGGGCGTCAGTGCCGACACTGTTGGAGGCGGAATAAGATGTAACACACGGTCCAGCAGCAACGTTGCGCCGGATACATCAACTACTGTCATCATAAGAAAGTTTGCTGATGACTGAAGATATCCCTGCTTCAGCTCCCGTAACGATTTTCCGCTTCCTGGTATCTTATCGCTCTTCCCTCCTGCTTCATGCTGAGACAAAAGCAAGGCTCCTTCCGGCGTCACTTTTAGGTACGAGTACCCTTTGTCCATGACATACATGAGCAAACAACTCGCAAACCTAAGCTCACGCTTCCAACAATTAATCATTTCAGCCCCTACAACCTTCAGGTCCGCAGGATTTCCAATCCACCGCCGAATAGCTATGGTCAACTCCATCCAGACCTGGGCACCTATAGTCTTCGTGACTACTGCTGAGTGCATCCAAACATGCAAAACAATTGACAGCATTGCAGTGAGCACCGGACGGTTGCCTGGTTCACGTAGCATTATACAATTATCAACCGTAGATAACACGAATTTGCGCAGGTAGGTGGACGTGTAGTCATCAAGTCGCCGCTGGGAAACGAGTTCCAGCAGCTCGATACAATGCAATAAAATCTTGGAATCTTCTAGCTGAACGGATGGATGAAAAAGTTGCGACACGTGGGAGATCATGGCCCTCGAGACCTCGTTTATTTGGACTTTCATACCCGATGGAACATGTTGTGTTCCAGTACAAATGCCCGAGTAGAACTTTATGGCATCCCCCACTAGCTCTGTATCTCGATACGCGAATCGCTGGCGGATCGTTTCCATGACAACCTCCGAAAATTCACGCCGTGACCAAAGGACTTCCATGTATTCTTCCCTCGACCGCAGTTTGTAAACCCATCGTGCAACAACTCGCTGAAAACTGCCTGGACAATGATGAAAAAATCCCAATGTGTCCCCTTCTTCTTTTAACTTCACCTTCAAACAAACCTTTGGGTACAACAATGGCATATAAAACTTCATAATAAGTTCTGCCCAGAAAATGAATCGATCACTATTTCCACCGGTACTTTTGCCCATCATCGATAAAGGTGTTGCATTTTTTCCATACGAATCATCTCTTTCTAAGCTTAAATCCATCAAAAACTTTAGCATATCCACTGGTTCCTCTGCTTGTGTCGGCATCGGTCGCATCCATCCTTCCACATGAACACCTTCATTCAAAAACTTGTCCGGTAGCATAATACTTCCTCCTCCATATGGTGAAAAGTCTACACTTTCCCGCAATAATTCAAGATGAATAGTTTTTCGATCCGGCATAGCATGAAGTAACGTGGCATTACTTTTCCCCATCTCATCTTTTTTCATCATATCTTCATGAATTCCAATATCAATATCATCACTCATGAGACGAATAATTCCAGCTCTCGAGACTTGAAAACTCGATGTACTTGTAACTGGCATGGCTGCTAATTGTTGTAAATTCCGTGTTGCGTCCGTATATAATGCAAGACATCGAAATGCATACTTCTTAATCATTGCATGGTTATCTTTTTTAAGTAATTTCGCAAATAGGATGGTCAATCCTTTATTATTCCATCCATCACGTAATCGCATGACATTATGACGTAATAGAACTTCCAAGCCTTCAAAAATCTCACTCCAATCTTCTGCTTCCAATGGTTTTCGACGTTGTTTACGGAACGCTGTTTCATGAGGTGCATATAATGTCTCTAACTCTGTGACACAATCATTCACGACACTAAAGACAAGTGCACTATTTGCCTCATCAGCCCAAAATTCAACAATTGTTGCAGCATGTTCAGCTTGAGCATGAGTTCCACCATTAAGATGATTGAAATCCTTGAATGCAGATGATGTAGAAGTAGAAGAAGAAGCAGCAGAAGAAGAAGAGGAAGTTGTACCAGATAATAAAGACTGCATGGCAACTGCAATGTTGCCCGTAGTATTTAATGTCGTCTCAGTACCAGGTGGATGTTTAATATAATCTAATAATGTACGTAAACGTTTACGTGGTGGACGATCAGATGCAAAGAATTTGGCAAGACGTTTAATATCTGTACATGTTGTTTCTTTACGTGGTGTCTTGGTCTCTCCCAAAATACGCTTGGAGGAGTCCATGTTGATAGATAGATAGAGAGAGTGTGTCGGGGGGGCGGGGGGTGCTTAGACTTGAAGTATGTATGGAGAGAGAGCAAGAGAGATGCTCGCGAATGTTGCACGAACGAGTATAAAGCAGTGAGTGAATGTATTCTTAAGTAGAAAGAAAAGTATTTTACTGGATTTTATTTTATTAATTATCGAAACAAACAGAAGGAGAAATGGAAAGTATGAAAATAGTGCGGGATAAGAATGATCGATTTGAAGAAAGTAAATGTAATTATTTCTATCCGCCCTCGTGTACTTTCGTAAGGTCGGGCGTATTTCTAAACGTGACCATTAGGATCAGATTAACATGCAGCACGTCTATAATGAGATTTTCAGGCTGTTGTCACAAGCAGTACCAACGCCTGAGGCAAATTACCGTAAGTGCAAGACCAAGCACAAGCTACCTACACACCATATGCTGCAAAGACTTTGAGCTTGTCTGGTTTGTCAGTAGATGGGTTAACAACGCCTACCGTCACTTTTGCACATAGTTAATGCAACACCTTACGTGTGTGTCCCGTGCTGATTATATCCGTCCAGGTCCGATGGCATGGAGCAATCAAGGACATTTTATGTATGAGTAAATCGAAATCAAGTCAGCGTGTCGACTATAGGCTATTTTCTGTTAAAACGTATAAGGTTGGCTATTAATGCAATAAAAAAGCGTTGGTTTCACACCATATTGAAGAAACAGTTTACACGTGCCTTAGCACTGGCCGCACCAGCGTATCCGTGGCATTCCAGCAGCGTCGTAGCCAATGTTCGAATCTCCAAAACTGCCGTTCAAAGATAGTCTGCGAGAACAAAACTACTTTGGATCGTCTAGTATATCCTCCCGATCGTGCATCAGCCTGTTGTCCTTAGCGATCGCACCAGAAGCCGAACGAAAACTATAGTACGGCTTGAGCACTTTACTCCATAACGCTGTCATCGGTCTTTACACGGTTGGAAAGGCTCCTTATCGTCTTGGATATAACCGAATATTAATGCTGCGGATAGAGCAGCAGTAGGTCCCATCATGGTACCTGGTCCAGCTAGCGCTTGTCGAACTGCCATCTCTTCCTCTCTAGCAAGTACGGCTGGAACATGATGGGTGGATGCCTACTACTCGAGGTGCGGAGGCTGCACCATGTTTTCGCTTCATTTGTCAGTTTTTATCGTCTGTCTCATGCGTCTGCTGGTATGCTTTGCGGCTCTCTTATTCGTGCGGCTCTCTTATGCGTACAGCTCTCTCTGGATACAGACACACACGGTGATGATGCAAACAATACTCATCTGTACTCAGTGTCTTCTGAGTTGGCAGTCTGCGTCACGCTCATCAGCAATGTGCTGTCGTGCGCGCACAGGATCCTTCTGCCCATGTGTTCGTCCGCTATTTGGAAGCCACTCGCGTTGGCACTCATAGCGCTCTGTTTGATGATAGCGCTTTGTTTGATGCGCTCTGTTTGATGATAGCGCTTTGTTTGATGCGTTCTACATTCCTACCACGACAGAGGTCACTCACTAATTGGGCAGTATGTAAAGCGCAAATTTGCCGAGGACGTTTTGTCCTGTCCAGCCATATTTGGAGTAGGGTTATCGAAGGTACTACTTTGGTCGTAATTTCAGCTCTCACGAGAGCTGTGCCATTTTTCCTGGAGATGCCTGCAACACGACGGCGCGAGATTTGCAAGGCTCTTAACGATAAATCAGTGGTATTGACGGGCGATTGTGCAGGTGCCTTGGAACAAATCGTTACCACTTTGAGGTATACGATATCTTCTTGCTTAGCTTGTTTACACCAATGTGGCGTACTGTAACGGGGTTACACGAAGGTGTGTAGTTTACATACACACCTGCCACACCAATGTGGTGTGGCTGTACCTTGGGTACAAAAGTAGGTGATGTGATCGTACCTGAAGTACGTTCGGTCACATCGTGGCTGAGAGCCACGTGGTCACTATACTTATTTAAAGTAATGACAATACATACATAGCCACTAAATCGGGACTAGCACTAAGTATAGAGTAAATGAGTAGGTGCTTCTATATTTAGTGGTAGAAGATAAACATAAATATAAATCAGTTTTAACCTGCTCTATAAGCATCACTGCTTGAGCATTCTATTCCTTCTAAGAAATCAGTATCTTTGATACTAGTCTCTTTGAGACCCGGTTGTAATAACCGATAGGCACAAGCTTACGAGCTAGCCTAGGAAAGGTTAAGTACCCTAAGACGTAGAAGCTCTCTGAGCTTGTCTTCCTCTACACATAGTGCATAAGTAGCTTGGTTACAGTAACTCGGCTACACTGGTAGTACTTGCAACCAATCCCGCACCTGGGTTTGCGACTCCTTCTTTGTGTGAGAATGTACATCGATGAGATGTCAGCGGTTGACCTGTCACAGGCACAACAGGAAGGGTGCAGAAGCTGCTCCCTATCCTTGGCCCTAAGGGCATAGATACCTCATCGCCCAGGGCGAAGAAGAGTTTAACAAGCGTATTCTTATGCTTTATGAGCATATTAAAGCTCTAGTCGAGCATGTAAAGGCACAGATGCCTTCTTCTGCGCCTTCGCCCATGGCGACTATGGCGCAAGAAGTGGTCCGCAGACCAAAACCCATACGAATGGAAGTCGATAAGTTCGACGGCAAAGAAGGTGGCAACCTTATGCATTGGTTCCGACAGGTTGAGTCAGCTATGTTTATAGCCGACATCACCTATGAACCGTGTGGACTTTGCAACGGGCAAGTTAGATGGCTTAGCCAAACAGTCGGCATTCACATGTCGTTCATCATTGCAAGATGCTTTTCCCACATGTGCCGATCTGAAAGTTCAGATGACCCGGCTGTATGCACCGCCAAACCAAGCACACCGTAACCGGTCGCGGTTTTTGGCGTGTCGCCAAGGCAAGTTTGAGCTTGCGGCATATGTACAAGAGTTGAGAACTCTCAGTGCTGCCATGGTCATAGATCCTATGCCTGAGGCAGTGACCGTCACGGTTTTCATGGAGGGCCTTCGAGTTGACGTTGCCAGAACGGAAGCCCCCCTTCCAGAAAAACCCATCTTCATTCGAGAAGGCAGTTGAGTGGCATGGAATGCCGAGACCAACTTTAAGGCCGCTAGGTCTGCCACTTATAACTACTCGTGTGATGGGTCTGTACCCATGGACTGTAGTCAAGTGGAGGATGAAGAAGCTGAGCTTCAAGCTGCGGAGCTGCAAATCGTGCGCAGATGTTAGATCTGTAAGAGCACAGGCTAATTGATGGCAAAATGCCCTGCAAGAAAGGCATATTTGACATCTAAGGGCCGACGCCCCATGGGTAAACCTTCTGGTTGCGGCAGGGAAACGGCGGAGCCCAGTAGGATTAGGGCGCCATACTGGGGAAGAACTGAGTTCTGTTGAGCCTCTAGGAGGTAGAAGTAAACAGGACTCAGCCCCAAAGAGATACGAACTCTCAAAAACGGAACGAGAATGCAAGCCAGGCTTGCTAGTCGTCGAAGGGACGGTAAAGGGCTTTGATAAGCCATGGATCATTTTGATCGATTCGGGGTCATCGGGTAATTATGTGCGCCGTGCCACCGTGGAAAATAGTTAGCAGTATGCTGAAGCGCTTGTAACGCGTGAGAGTGACAGCACCTAGTGACGAGGTACTGGCCCAAGTGGGTCGGGTGAAGTCAAAAATGACGCTTGTCTTTGAGGACAACGAGGTGCAAGCACCTCATGACGAGGCATTAACCCAAGAGGGTAGGGTGCGGTCAGTAAACGAAGTGGTCTTTGACCTTGAGGTGTGTACAACTGTGGACGCTGATACGTCGGATACTGAGAACATCGTGAGTAGCGATGATGATGTCGTGAGTGACGGTGATAGCGAACAGCTATATACACTCGTCAATGGTTTGACTGGGGATGTTGAAGGGCCGATGGCTCTTTCAGCTATACCCGCAGTAAGTGCTCTGTTAGAGCTGTACAAGCCGTCCTTTGCCGAGTTTGGCAGTGCCTTACAGGCAGGCAAAATCGCCGAAGTGGTCGTTATACGACCTGAGGAGGAGTTAAACCCTCATCGCTTTTGGATGAAGCAGTTATTGAGGATACCAAGAAGGCGCTGAATACGCGTAGTGGATCGCAGATCCTGAAGGACCCTTCGGATCCTTATTTTACTTTGTTGAAGGAATATGGAGATGTTGTCTCCAGAGAACCTCCGACGAGGTTACCTCCGGATAGAGGTGTACGTCATGAAATTGACTTGGTTCCAGGAACCAAATATTGTGTGACGCGACAGTGGCCGCTACCACAAGAACAATGTGACGTCATTGACAAGTTCTTTCGTGCAAGCACGCGACTGGCATGGTGCGTGAGAGTCAGTCTCCTCACTCTACGCCTTCTTTTTGTGTGAAGAAGACTAATGGGAAGTGGCGAATAGTGCATGCTTACAATAAGCTGAATGCAGCCACTATCGCGACTCAAACGCCGATTCATCGCAAGGATGTTCTTCAGAACAATATGGAGGGATGTACAATGTACAATGCCCTCGACTTAGTCGATGGATATTACCAACTGCTCATGCAAGCTAGTGACATCCCGCTGACAGCGGTCAGCACTCCGAGCGGTATGATCTGGGAGTGGTTAGTGATGGCCCAATGGCTATCTAACGCACCTGCAACGTTTAATCGTCTATTGACGCAGTTGTTTCGACCCCATAAGGCGTATGCACAGACATACTTTAACGATATTCGTCATAGTCGAGCCGAAAATGGCAAGACTGATGTGGAGCACCACATCGATCGCCTGCGAGCTGTGCTGGGTGGAGTGAGGATGCATAAGTTATATGCCAATATTGACAAATGCATCTTCGGTGCGGAAGAGATTCCCTTTTCTGGATGCTTCATTGGGAAGCAAGGAATCCGGACAGACCCTGTTAAGGTCAAAGCCATAGTGGATTGGCCGGTTCCGAGGAACCAGAAGGACTTCCGTAAGTGGTTGGGTTTGGCAAATT